CCCACCCGTTCAGCCCACGGCTCCGGCTCCCCCAACTCTGGGTGCTGCATCCCCCGCACGGCACGTCCCCCCGTGGGAGGGCGGACAAAGCAACCCGTGGGGACTCGGACTTGGGCCTGGGAAGGCCTGTTCCTGCCACTGGGATTCTCAGGGCCCCGTGCCCGGGAGCCCGACACGCGTGTGCTTGCACACATCTGCACACACAGACCACAGGTGCTTCCCCACAGGTGCCCGAGCACCACTCAACACTCAGTCAACACGCTGCAGGCTCCCTCTGAAGACAGGTGGCATTTGGGGACAAGAGAATTTGGCCACTTCAGCCCACCAGGTGCGAGCCCCTGAGCCGAGCTCGCAGGAGGCAGAGGGAGCGGCCGGCCGCCTCCCCGGCCCCCAGGCAGATGGCAGAGACACACGTGTTGACGTGTGTTTGGCGACTGCATGAATCAGAGCACCAGCCAAATCCGCGCCTGGAGGAAACACGTGGTTTAAACTCGAGTCTGTTGCAGCACAGGCAGCTCCCCACGGAGCCACGCGGGTGTGAACTAGAAGATTCTGTGCACCCCAGCCACGGGAGGTGGAGGAAGCCCCGGTGACGTGGGATTGGGAAGGAGAGGTAAGGCGTGGTCCCGGAGGAGGCCCTGGGGTGGGGTTGCCATTGCAGGGTGGCAGGAGGCGGAGAAGCAAAGTGTGGGGTCCCCTGCAGGGGTCCAGGATCCGGCATCCCCACATCTCTCCTAGCAAGGGGCCCAGCGCCCGGCTGCTGCAGTTCCCAGGTCTCTGGTTTTACAACCGGGCACGTCCCGGAAAAGCCAGGGTGCATTTCTCATCCCACCCGGACCCTCCCCTGCCCGCCTGTGCCATGACCCCATGGGGCTTACAGGTGCCGTGCCGTGGCCACCCAGCCCAGGGCAGGACGGCCTGCGTGTCCATGACGCCGACCGGGCCCCGCGTGCCTCTGGAGACAGCCACATTCCAGCCGAGCTTGCAAGACGGCCACGGCCACGCCCGCCGCCACGTCCTCACTCTGCAGAGGGCCAGGCGTGGGGTCCCCATTATGGGTCATGCTGTCCCCGCCCAGCCTCTCCTCTGGCCTGGCCCCCAACGGGCGTGCGGCAAAGCTGGTGTCCACTCCGGTGACGCACGGCACCCTGCGCGACCACGCCGTCTGCCTTTCACCTTGAGGAGCCTGCAGGTCGGGGTGCAGGGGGGCTGGGATTCGAAGCCACGCCCCACCCCAGCCCATCCCTGCCCCAACACGCCCTCGGGTCTCAGCCTGGCCTGCCAGGGAGCTGAAGTGCTCACGGACCGCCACAGCCGTCCCTCCTCTGTTCCTTCCCTGCACACAGCTCACATTTCCAGAGAGCTGGCGGAGCTCCAGGTGCAACCTGGGAGCAGGAGAAGTGAGGACGACAGAGGCTTATCTGCCAACAGCCCGGGACGCCTGGAGCACAGCCAGGTGGGGGGGCCACGAAGACGCTCTGCTCCCCCCCCCCCGCCACTGACACTTTGCTTACACATGTACATGTGTTGCTCTATTTTTAAAAAATCCTCCTTGGAACATGTACGTCCTGGAACATGTGCAGTTTCCACGGTGTGGGAGGGAAGGTCTCCAGCGAAACTCTGCCAATTATGCCGATCCCATATCCTCCCCGGTGCTAAACACATTCATTAATACGGTCCTCCCTCCAGCCTGCGGCCTCGCCGGAAACCAGCCACTGCTACTCATGATACTGGACGTTTGTGGTTTTAAGCCACTGAGTTTTGGGGTATCTTGTTATGCAGCAATAGATAACTGATGCAGGTGTCATTGTGAACTTACTTTTTATTTATTTATTTTTTTTGGAGACAGAGTCTCACTCTGTTGCCCGGGCTAGAGTGCCGTGGCATCAACCTAGCTCACAGCAACCTCAAACTCCTGGGCTCAAGCAATCCTCCTGCCTCAGCCTCCCGAGTAGCTGGGACTACAGGCATGCGCCACCATGCCCGGCTAATTTTTTTCTCTATATTTTTAATTGGCCAATTAATTTCTTTCTATTTTTAGTAGAGACGGGGTCTCACTCTTGTTCAGGCTGATCTTGAACTCCTGACCTTGAGTGATCCTCCTGCCTCAGCCTCCCAGAGTGCTAGGATTGCAGGCGTGAGCCACCGTGCGCCCAGCCTCTTTTTAAAATTTACTCATAGTAAGAAGGCTTCTTGCTCGCAAGAGTCTTCCAAGAGTGTCTAGAGGCCCCGGGAGAGGGGACTTGCCTGGAGAGATGACGGCACTCCAGAGCTTGGGAGCCTGCTGGGAAAAGACGGTGGGCTTTGCACGTTCCCACCGCCCGACCCATCCTGTCCGTCATCATACCTGCTCTGCTCGCCCAGCAGAAATCCACAGACACCTGCTACGCAGCAGGCAGCACTGGAGGGACGTGGGACAAGTTAGCAGACAAACAGGGGACCGCCCTCGGGAGTGTCCAACCAGGCGACTGCTGGGACTTGGTTTCCACTCCAGGCACAGGCAGCGCCCTGCGGGGTAGTGAGGACGCCGCCTTGCCCGCATCACATGGGAACTGCAGACACCAGACCCAGCCCCACCTCCGGGCACCAGCCCCCAGTCCCGCTGCATCCCAGAAGCACCACACCGTCGACAGCTCCCGGTCTCCAACAGACGCATCTGGGGTGCCGGGGTCGAGGCGGCAGGCCTCCGAGGCTCCCCAGCTCACAGGCAGATGCCCCTGCCCCAGAGCCCCACTCCCCAGGCTGTGCTGGCCTCCACGTGTCCGGGCGGAGCCGGGCCGGCCCAGGGCATGGCTGGGTCACCCACGGGCACGAGACCAGGCTCTGCCCTCCCTGAGCTCCTCGCCAGCGTTGGCTTTGGAGAGCCGCAGCTGTTCAGGAAGCTGCTCTCCCGGCTGAGGAAACAAGAGGAGAAAGAGGCAAACAACAGGGGCCCGAGAGGCTCTGGCCACTGGGCCGCCGGGCTCCCGAGTGTTCGGAAGTGCCGTCAGCCCACGTGCTCACCAGGCAGCCCTCCACGGGCCCGCCGTCCACTTTGTGTAGAACAAGGCCTTCCAAGTGACATTTTCCTAGGTGGTTTTAGGCAAATGCCTTGTCATAATATTTGTGCTAAGTCCCCTTTTATGATTTTTTAAGCTCCTCGGCTAGCTCGAAAAGAAATCTTTGAAAATAAGGCCAGCTTAGCCAAAAGGTCAGGGGTTTGCAAACCAAACAGAGGGCTCAAGGGCCAGGGGAGCGCGTTTCTGCTGGTGGCCACCTGTGCAGCCGTGGCCGGCTGTCGAAGGGGTGAATGCCAGGGGACAACAGGTGGCCCAGCCCACGGTCGGTCGGGCCCTGGTGTCCCCGGGGCGGCAGCAGTGAGCTTGTTCCCGTGGTCTCCGGCACCAGGGCTCTCCGGCACGGTGGGACACTCGGGGCCCAGCACGAACCCCTGTCAGTAACCGGAGGACTGTGTCTTCCAAGGGCAACCTGGCCCACTCGAGCCCTCTTCCGTGGGACAGGACACTTCGCCTCACGCCCCACCAGGCTGGGACACAACCCACCAACACGGCCCCCCCAGACCCATCCCGACAGCCCGCCAGGAGCCTCCACCCACCCCGTTCCCGTTCCCGCCATACAGATGCTACGTCGAGGCACAGGGAAGCCGAAACACTCACCCGAACGTTAGGCAGAGGCCAGGATTCAAACCCCGTCTGCCAGCCCCTGAGCCTGCCATGCTGGCTTCCGGCAAAGGGAATATTTTTGTTTCCTCTAAAGGCTAAATATTTAAGCACTTGTTTTTATGAGCTGAGACTCCCTGATGTGAATTTTGGGCTTCAGCGGAATAGCTCTCCCCGTGCCCAAGCAGCTCGAGAACAGAATCTACCGGGACCTGGGGCACAATAGCTCCTCAGCCCCACTTCTCCCTGCCAGGCCCAGCCCCTGCCTCAACACCCCACTGCCCCCCACCTGCTCAGGTTTCCTCTGCAGGTGCAGCAGGTGCAGCCAGCCAGGCCCTGACCCGGCCCTCCAGGCGATGCAGAGCTGTTGCTGGCAGGCGGGGTGCAGGGGAGGGCCGGCTGGGGACAGCGGGGGCCCCTGGGCAGCCCAGAGATGGCAGCAAGCTTGTGCCCAGCCACCTCTGCCTGTGCCCCTCCAGGCGCCGGGCAGGTGAGGGGAAGGCCCAGGACTTCGCCCTGGCAGGCTGTCAAGGCAGGCCGGGGTGCCCTGGGGAGGCCCCTGGAGGGGTGAGTGTGTGGAGGGCTGCAGAGGATCCCGCCCGCCTCGCATCCTCCCAGCCCTGCTGGGCCCTCGGGGCGGCCCGGACAACCAACTCTAGCAGAGCAAGGGGCGCAGAGGTGCCCCTCACTCCCCACAGCACAAGACCACCCTGGAGCCAGGCACAGGGGCTGCAGGGGCAGGGGTGGTGTTTCTGCTTCCCCTCGCTCACCCCTCCCAGACTTAGTGGTGCTACCCCACCTCCACCCCAGCCCCGGGCGGTCTACGCTCTGGAGCGCTGGCACCCATGGGCACCCAGGAGGGAGGGTCTGCCAGCCAGCTGTGCGGAGAGGCCCAGCCCTGCCAGCGGGGAGCCGCATCCCTGCCCACCCACCCCATTACACCCTGGCCCGCTGAGCAAGCTGGATGGGGAGGAGACGAAGCTCCCCTTCCAGGGCAGGAGAAGTTCGGCAGACCGGGGAGGAGGGGCCCTTGCCGCCCGCCCTGGGGAGAGCGGCAGGAAATACCTAATGCCCAACCACGGCCCCTGCCAGGAAGCCTGGTGCCCGGGCGCCCACCCCAGCCGCACTGCCCCTGGGAGGACGAGGGGCCCGCCGGCCTGCCGGGCGGGGCGGGGACGGCAGCCTGCGCGCCTCCCTCTCCCTCCACCGCCCCCAGGCTGGGCGCGCCGCTTGCTTGGAGGAGGAGGAGGAGGCTCCAGAGCTGGGAGGGCGGGGGCGGGCGGGAGGCGTGCGGAGCGGAGCGGTGCGGGAGAGCGCGAGGGAGCAGGGCTGAGCGAGGGAGGGGAGCGCGCCGGCCGCGGTGCGTGCGCTCAGCTCCGTCCGCGCCAGGACCGCGCTGCCGCCCTGGCCAGGGCCCCCGGGTGTTTGGAGATCAGAGCCTGCCGCAAGAGGGGACTCGAGGAAGCGCCGGGTCTGGAGCCGGGAGCCCAGAGGAGCGCGGAGCCCAGAGCTCGTGGCGAGCGCAACCCGAGCGCCCCAGGGGCAGCGCGATCCGTGTCCGGCGCCACCCGGCTAGACGGCGCCCCGCTCGCCCTCCTGCGTGCAACCTTTCCTCGGGCCCCTCCTCCTCCATCCCCGCCTGCGACGCGCCGCTCTCGCCAGGACTTCCAGCCGCGGAAGCGCGGGACGGAGCTGCGGGCCGGCACCCACCATGCGCCTCAACGGCTCCGCGCCCGGCACCCCGCGGCCGCCGCGCTTGGGGCTGGAGGCGGCGCTGCTGGCCCCCGGCTTCGGCGACGGTTCGGGCAACGCCTCTGAGAACGCCCTCGCCGCGCCCAGCGGCGACCTGGACGTGAACACCGACATCTACTCCAAGGTGCTGGTGACGGCGGTGTACCTGGCGCTCTTCGTGGCGGGCACGGTGGGCAACTCAGTGACGGCGTTCACGCTGGCGCGCAAGAAGTCGCTGCAGCACCTGCAGAGCACAGTGCACTACCACCTGGGCAGCCTGGCGCTGTCCGACCTGCTCATCCTGCTGCTGGCCATGCCCGTGGAGCTGTACAACTTCATCTGGGTGCACCACCCCTGGGCCTTCGGCGACGCCGTCTGCCGCGGCTACTACTTCCTGCGCGACGCCTGCACCTACGCCACGGCGCTCAACGTGGCCAGCCTGAGCATGGAGCGCTACCTGGCCATCTGCCACCCCTTCAAGGCCAAGACCCTCATGTCCCGCAGCCGCACCAAGAAGTTCATCGGCGCCATCTGGCTGGCCTCGGGCCTGCTGGCCGTGCCCATGCTGTTCACCATGGGCCAGCAGAACCGCAGCGCCGACGGCCAGCACCCCGGCGGCCTGGTGTGCACGCCCACCGTCCGCACTGCCACCGTCAAGGCCGTCATACAGGTGAGCAGCCTCCCGGGGGTGGGGGTAGGGCTGAGGGGAGGCAGGGGCCACTGGGCGCCAGGCTGGGACGCTGGAGGGGGCGCCGGTGGCCATCCGCCCGGGGAAGCCTCAGCTCTCCCCTTTCCCACACCCCAAAGTTAGGTTCCAGTGGGGCGGAACCCTGTGGTCCAGGAGTGGAGAGCTGGGAAAGTCTCCCCTGGGGAGGCCGGGCAGGGAGGGGCCCAGTGGGGGGGCAGACACCCTTCCTCCTACCCCTCCAGCACGCCAGGCTCAGCCCCCATCTGGCCCTTCTGTTGAGGGGGGCTGGAGACCCTGCCAGCGACCTCCCTAGGGTCCGTGGATGGACCTCCGGTGTCTCCAAATTCCTAAGCAGCTAACGGAAACTTGCACGGGCTGGCACCAGCCTCTTTCAAGGGAGGGGGCCCTTTCATCTGCTTCTCGGCAGGCTTCCTGCCCCCAAGAGGGTACAACCCTCTCCTCTGCAGAGATGCCCCAAAGCGGCCCCTCAGTGCCGCCGGGCTGCCCTGCCTCGGCACAAGCCTGAGTGTCAGAGCTGAAGCTGATGCCATCTTGGGCTGGTTCCCAGTTAGCCTCAGTTTCCCCAACTGCAAAATGTGGTGGTCATGGCACTGCCCCAAGAGGGAGAGCACTGGGGCACCCTGGTGGGAGGGCTGGCGTGGGCCCCGGCACGTGGACACACTCACAGGTGACGGCTGTTGCTGGTGGTCGTGGCAGTGTTTCTGCTGGGAACACACACGGGAGGGTGTCCACAGGGGAAGTCGGGCGGACACGACACTGAATAGCATCTGGGCTCTAGGACCTGGGCAGCCTCGGGGGTCGGGGCTCCCTCCCTCCCAGGGCGGGCTGAGGAGGGCAGGGGGTAGGAGGGTCTGGGCAGGGTCTCTCTGCCGAGCCAGAGGGGCTGGGGCAGCCCCCGCCTCAGCCCCCTCCCGCAGAACTTCCTCGGCTGCCTCGGATGCCAGTGTGTGGCCGCATGCCCGCCGGGGAGATGGCAGTGCCAGGGAGGGTGCCGCCTGCCTGTCACACCCCCCCCAGGCCCTGGCTGACCCTCCCCTGACCACCACTGAGGTGGGCTGTGGCAGCAGAGCCAGACCCCTGTCCCCCGCCGTGTGCACAACCTGTGGCCACAGGTGTCCCCGCGTGGGGAGGTCCCCGCCTGAGCAGCTGCCAGCAGGGGTGAGTCAGCGAGGTCAGCTCCCCAGCGAGGTCCCTGCAGACGCGGCCGGGCCACGAGTGGGAACAGAGGGGGAAATTTCCTTCCACCTCCTGCGAGGCTCCTTCTCTTGCCTCCTGTCTGTGATGGGCTTTCCCTGGGGGGCCTCTGGTCGAGGGGCCTGGGGGCAGCAGCCCGCGCCAGATCGCCATGTGGGGGTCCATGTGCTCAGTGCCCACCTGGAGATGCTGCACGCAGCCCCCGCCCCTCCGCCCCCCAGGCCTGGGCAGGAGCATGTGGTCTGTCGCAGTCATTGCAAACAAACGCTGCAGCACAGGGAGAGAGGACAGCCCGGCCCTGCCCTCCGAAATGTCCCCGTCCTGTGGACCCTCCGCTGGGCCCTTGGAACTGGACACCCACACGACATCACCCGGCCCCAGAGTGCCGTGTGCCTGGTCCAGCTGCTCAGGTGCCGACCCCCTCAGACACCTGTGGAGCGGCGGCCCTGGGCAGGTGGCACCTGCCGAACGCGCTCTGGCTTCCTTAGTGCCCCTGGACATCGTCGTCACCATCTGTCTTTAGGGGGCTTGGGAGCGACTGACTGGTGACAAGGCCACTCTCCCATCCCCAGCCAGTGGCTGTGCCCAGGCTGCACGGGCCCTGCACGCTGGCTGTTCCGTGCTCGTGACGGGGGCGTCCCTTACAGGAGAGGCTGGGCCTGCCCCGCCCCCGCCCCACCAGCTGCCAAACCCATGGAGGGTCTGGTCCAGGGTGGGGGGTTGTACGGTCCCCGTGGGGGCTGTTGGACTGTCTGGCAGATCCAGGCAAACGTCTGCTGTTTCCAAACCGTGGCTCGAGCAGAGCTGGACATTGGCCCCTGTGTCCCCTTCCTTGACCATGTTGAGAAGGTAGAGGGGTTGGCCAAGCAAAACGGCCCGTCTACCCAAAACAGGTTGGCCTTTCCAGAAAGCCCACGTGTCCCCACCGGCCTGCCACCCTCCTCAGCAGTGAGACTCTGCCCCGGGCACTTGCAAACAGAATCGGGTCTAGAAACGAAGGGGGTTGCTGGTAAGATTGGTGCTAACTTTGCGCATCTCCAGGCTGGCAGCTGGCACGTGTGCCCGGGGCCAGCAGGGTGACTGAGGGGAGGAGCCAGGCTCAGGGACCTTCAGGGTGCCCCCGGGCTCCCCCAGGACTGTCCTGTCCCTGCTCTGACACACACACCTGCCCCTGTCCATATGGACTGACCCTGAAACTTGCGTGGCCCCTGAAATCCAGGCCCGGCCTCCCGCTTTGACCGCAGGGTGAGCGTGATGAGTCCTGTGTTCACTACCCCGGGAGCGTGTGCACGCACACGAGTGTGCATCCAGGGCACTGACACGGACAGAGACCCAGGGCGCTCGGGTGTCCGGCTCAGATCTGGCTTAGGTGGCTGTGTCCTTCGGAACGGCTTCCAGAGGCCCCTGCCCCCACGGCACACAGCAGAGCAAGCCCTGCCGCACCGCCAGGCACAAGCGAGTCCATCAGATCTGCCGTCCGCGGCCACCGAGGGCCCTTTCATCATGGCTCATTAGTGCCGACCTGGGGCTCAGCCCGCGGCCTTGTCCCTGTTGCTCGGAAAAGCTCGTCTGTGTTTAGCACAAACAGACCAGCTCCTCGCTAGGATCAAACCCGGACTCCGGGGCCCGGCCTCCCTCCGAGGGCAGGGGAGCACCCAGGAGCCCCCTCCAGGAGGGAGAGGCAGCGGGGCCTGCGTCCGTCCACAGGGAAGAAAGTTGGTTCCCGCTCGGTCAGGCCTGGCCTGTGCCCGGGGCCGCTCTGCGGGCCCCACCCTCGTTCTCTGGAAACACGCACGGGCCAAGGAGTGTGGCGTCCCCCGCCCGCTCCCTGCGGTCCAGGAAGGAGCACGTGGGGACCCTCGCGTGGAGCAAGGTGCTGGGACCCGCACACCTGGTGCTGTCCTCCCCGTCTGCAGTTCGGAACTTTCCTCTTCATGGGGAAGCTGCAGGAGGAGCCGGTGTGGGTCCCCGAGGGCAGAGACTGCTGCAAGGGGGCGGGCAGCCGGCCCCCAGGACGGCGCCCACGCATGGCCACGGCTCTCGCGTCTGCAACTGGGGGTGGAGTGCAGCTGGCGGGAGGGAAGGGGCCGCACACGTCCTCGCCTGAACATCCACGCATTTGGGAGGGGATCCTGCATTTTCCTGCCTTTCTTCGGACCGCGACGCAGGGGCAGGCGAGGGCGAGTCTTGGTGCAGGATGGCTCAGCCGCTCAGCGCAGGAGCAAGAGCGCAAGCCCCATTTAATGGCTCTTTAGCAGCCAAGTCAAGGGCCGGGTCGTGGGGTTCACAGGGCCCCCGGTGAAGATCAAGCGAAGCTGAGTCTGGCGCAGCCCCAGACGCGGCTGCCGGCTCGGAGGGGCGCGGCAAACGCGCCGTCGGGCTGCAGTGCGCAAGGCTTCCCTGCCAGGAAGGCTCAGGGCGAACCACCAGCCGTCCCACGAACGAACAGCAGGGCCTGCGGGTGACAGAGACTCAGGGACGTGCCGACCAGCCGTGGTGACCCGTCCTCATGCCAAGAAACGTGATGACGTCCCCAGACCGCAAGACCTGACGTGGGGCAGCCGCATCGACGTAGCGTCTGAGGCTTGCGGAAGCCGGGCCAGGGGAGGGGACGCGGGGGCTGCGGCTGAGACCAGCTCGGCCTGGAGTCGATGCTGTGTGTTGATGACGCTCTTTGTGCACGTTTGAAGACTTTGCAATTGAGAGTTTTCTAAAGGCTAAGATGCCGCACGCAGGCAGGACGGGGCTAGCTCGTGAAATCTGCCTTCGGGCTGCGGCTCGGAGGCCATGGGAGGAGGGAGGGCCTGGCCTGTGCGGGGCCGGGCGAGAGACTGCAGGGCGAGGACTCACGGAAGGACCCTTGGCCAGACAGGGATGGAGCCTGGAGATGCCCCCGGGCAGGGGCGTCCAGTCCGACCCTCTGCTGCTCCCCAGGGTGCGGGTCAGGCTCCCAGGGGAGACGGGCGGGTGAGGGGCACGAGGGGCCCGGAGCTGGTCGCGGCCGGCTCAGACCTGGCCTGGAGTCCTGGAGGGAGATGTCCCCTGGCCCCTGCGTTCCTGGCTCTGCGTGGGGACCAGACGTCAGCTCTCCCAGCCGGCCGGCCCGCGCTCAGACTGACGGCCGTCTGAGGAGGTGTTCTCTCCAGGGATGCGGTGTGTCCTGGGCCCGTCTGCGGGGCTGAGGGGCCGGGCGGGGGAGCAGCTGCCCTGTGCCGTCGGACACCCCGTGAGCAGGTCACCCCAGGCCAGACCTCGTGACCTCGAGCTCAGCGCCTGGCGGCGTCCTCGGCAGGTTGCTCTGGGCCGCAGCGTGCGCCGCAGGCGGAGTGAGGTCCCCGCTGGGCGGAGTGCGCAGGGCCGGCGTCAGGCCTGGGCGTGAGTGCCGGAAGGCAGAGCCGCCTGGCTTTCCTCAACCACAGAAATACCGGCCCCTCTGGTCATCCAGTAGCTTGTGTGTTTTTTTTCAAACTTTCCTTTTTTAAAACATGGTGGTGAAGTACACGCAACATACAATGCACCGTCTTGACTGTTTGCTCCGGCGAGTTCCGTGCTGTGAGCACTTCCGAGCTGCTGCGCCTCCGCCACCACCATCCAGAACGTTCTCGTCTCCCCAAAACAAAGCTCCGTCCCCGTTACACGCCCCGCCCAGCCCTGCGACCTCTCTTCTACTTTCTCTCCGGTGACTCGGTGACTCATGCCCTCGGAATCCCACGTCACAGGCTGAGACAAGCCAGACCCCAGGGCGACGGTGGCCCAGCCTGTCACCC